TAGGGAAATGTATAGCTGAGATAAATGTTCACATCGACCAGCCTGACTTGTGATATAATCAATTGTCTCAACAATAGGCCCTTCTTTCCATTTCAGATCATAGGGATAACATATATCAGTCATAGGAAATAGAACCACTAGGGTAATAAGTATTCTAGTACTAGTCTCAGGGCTAGTACTAGGGTGCCACCAAGATTTAGTCAAAGTCTCGGTAGATAATAACATTATCCTGAGGGGAGTTGAAGGGTACGAGAGGAGTAAAGAATTTTAAGATCCAGTGACACCTACGGCCTGATGACTTCGACAATTGCGTAACTAGCTAAACGTCACGACGAAGAAATATCTGGCGACGACCATGAAAAACCTACGCTTAACAGTAGGATTTCGGACTGGCCACTGTCAACTAAGGAAACACCTCCGTAATATGCAGGATGTGTTAACAGGAAGATGAAACTATCAGGTATTTCCTATGCGAGTGTCCGGAGTTATCGTCAATAAGAGAGTGTGTGTTCGGCGAGTCTTGGCCTACACCTGCCGATATAAAGGAGATGTCTGCTAGTGACCCGTCAACCTTCCTGGAAACGACAAGCTGGACGATGACCTAGGAGATCATCGTCCCTTCCTACTCTACAGATACAGATATTCATTGTAACTCTCCTAACTAAATCTAGAATTATTCGGCCTTCTCGATTTTTCCGTATTGTTTCTTAGAAAGAAATGGTAGATAATTTTTAGATCTCCATTTCTCATGGTCTCATCCTTGTTTAATGAAAATATTTGAATCAATATTTTTATTGAAGAACCTCATTTGCCAGGATGTGTAAACTTTGTATAATAATTTTCATATCGAATCATAGTAGATAATAATATATGATTATTGAATCCTCCTATTGAAATGTTCATCTTCATCTATGTAATGAAAATAAAATATCATCTCGATGGTCTTCGTTACATAAACCAGGTAAAATGTCTTATATACGTAGACAGTACCACTAGTTGAAACAAATGGATATATAATGACTTTCATTCTGATAACTAAATGATACCTTGACGTTCTTATAATTATGTGATAAAAACCCCCACACGTTCTGTAATAATTCCCTTCTTCTTCTTCCCCATCCTTTATGGTACACATAACCCCAGGCATGCTTTGACAATATTCGTGTTTCATCTTTTGAGAGGTAAGTTATGTCCTCATTTTTGTAAAATTTGAACCCTGGTATATCCGCAATGGTCTCCGTTTTATCGTACTGCGTAGGAAACCTTAGGTAAATCCTAGGAAATGAGAATATGGCGACATTTTCCTTTCCCAGTGACTCGATCGGGACACCCTCTGACATACTACAGATAATTTGGTGTCGTCCTTCATTGGTCCCAAAATTGTCATCGGGCCAAGCTTATTATGCGAGTTATTGTCTCGGTTATAGTCTTTTTGGACCCCTTTCTTATTCAGTTGTCCCATTATGAAAATAAAATTGACCTGTCTTCCTGAATTTTTCATACTATTTTCCAAAAGAAAGATATCAAAGCTAGAAAGTATTCAGATTTTCAAACCATATAATCATTTGCATTTTTGTTCAAATGCAAAATTCGGTCATCAACTTCCACATCGAATAAAATTAATTGATGCGATTAGTGAATTCTTCCAATCGATGTATAATTAAACGTTCATCTTCCCCTACCCTTGTAGACCGCTTTGAACTGCATGTAAAAAAGATAAAATGCCATCTCGATAGTCTCAGTTCCCATAATCCAGGCAAAAATTCCTACATGCATTAACACTCTCGGCAGACAGTATCGCTATTCTCTCACGATTCTCACATAGAGATTGTTTTATAGCCTTCTGAATATTTTCATTCATGTTGAAGGCCAACGTAGAAATGCCTTTCTTCATTCTTCATTTATCTATACGAGCATCGATAGATTGCTTATATCGAGGTCTCTGATGGTATACGATGCTCTGAATGCACAGGTAATGTGGAAATTGTTTCATTAACTTTTTCACGATATCTTAGCATAATTATGAAATTTAATATAGAGATCACTTTTTGCTACAGTCACTTATATTTATTTACTGGTTGAAACCGCAAACTTTGTACCGCTTTAGATAATAATAAAAATTGTTGTGTTATTAGCTGAGTTATAATAACTTTTTCAATTGCGTTTGTGAAGCACGCAGTCGGGCCATACAGACACGTCCAGTGTTGCCAGGTAATTTTCATGCAGTAGATTTTACTTCAGAAAACAGTAGATTGGTACAGAAAACAGTTGAAAATATATTTTACTGATACACTACATGTATGGTTATTTCCATTATTCACAGTCATTTAATAATCACTATAGATAACACTCTGAGTCATCAGTACATTCCAACTCTCTAACAGTAGAACAATAGTTTGCAAGCCAAAACAAGTGACCTTCTGATAAACAGTAGACCTGGCAATACTGAACACGGCGCTTCTCTCGTGAGATTCCATCTTTATCTGCAGTGGATTGATTCGCGATATCCGCATTACGAATTCGTTATTTCGAAAATTATTAGGAAAACAATGCCTGCAAAATATATTAAACATTACAAACTTTGTCGTTCCAAATATAGTATACCTACCAAGACTGGCGTAGTCAAATTGAACGTCAAATTTTCGTTGCTAACACTATAGTTTGGATAATAATAGAAAATACAACAAAAAAATTTTGAAACTCAATCTTTCTGAATCTTTAGAAATAAATAGATTGGAGAATCCAAGTAATTTACTGAATGAACAAATAGAATCAAATAACTCCCCGCCACTAAATATATTTTCAAATGTGGAAACTGGAAATTGACTGGTACATAACCTTAGGTAATTTCATTCATTACGGGTATTTTCGAATTTGGTTGTACACTTCCTCTTTTTTTATGTTAATTGAAGCATTGAATAATTATATACATTTCAGTTGGTAGAGACACGTCTGAAGAAGCTATTGTGTAGCAAAACACGTGTTACGTTTTTGTGAAACTTTCTAGTGAAAATCTCACAATAAACAGTTTCTTGAATACGTTGTGGATTTTTATCAAATTTTCCAACCCTAACAATCTTTGCATGAAGCTATTACTGAAAATTAAATAATAAATACATCAGAAAAGTTCAAAACCAAAATAACGGAAACAATAGAGTTGCCCCCAAGATCTCCAGATCTCATGCCACTAGATTACTTTTTGTGATCTGGGTAGAAAACCAAAAATCTTTCTCCAATTTGTCATATCTCAGACTGGTTTAAAAGTTTTATGGATAGAAATCCTCAACTTTCTCTACATACACCAGAAGCTACATCTTTGAGTAGAGTAACATCGTTCAACAGAACCAACGTTAAATATTTTTTCGACAAACAGCAAGGCTCACTTCAAAGTTGTGTTATTTTTCTACAAAAAAATCTTTGAAGATGAGGATATAGATTTTTGGGAAAGAAACTTTTTGGCTTTCTACTACTCCATCTTGATACAAAAAAAGGATGAGGGAATCTTCCAAAGAAAGGAAGAAAATAATCAATTTGAAAATAAGTAAGTCTATACATGGATGTGTAGATCATGCAAAGAAGTAACTTTCAGACACAAACTGAAAGAAAGTCCTCCTGAAACAGCTACTTTCATATAAACATTGAATTACACGAAAGAAAAATAAAATTCTTTCGAAACAAATACTTCTATATGAACACTGAATTATACAGGAATTTTTTGTATCAAGATGGAGTAGTAGAAAGTCAAAAACTTTCTTTCCCAAAAATAATCTCTACCATAACATCGTGCCCCGAAAATGTACCTAACAACTAGCTCCAAATTGGGGGTAAGTTGTTACAGTCACCTTTTTTTGTTAAACTGTCCATTGTGAGAAAATTTAATTATTTTAGTAACTTTTCAATCATATTTCAATAACTGAATAGACACATCAAAAATCAATAAAAGCAATAAAACGTATAAATTATTTGATAGCTTTTGTCATACTGACAATTTTCTGAAAATTGAAAAAACGTGGCCCCCGCTCCTGGCAAATCTTTCATTCTCTACACCATTCATTTCAACCGTGACTGTTGATTTCCATCAACAGCATATTCAGTGTGAAAATATAAAGAAAAATTATTTATTTGTGAAATCAATTTTCCATGCTGTATGTATCTGAATGAAATTATATTTTTTGTTTTTCTTTATTTGAAGGCTCCTCAAACCTAATATACGCCAAGAATACATAATATTGATGGAATTTTTCATTGCAAACTTTCGCACACTTTGAGAAAGGCAATGTTTTCAGTCAGCTACAAAAAAAGATAAGAAAGGAACAGAGGTTACTGTCCATAGTTTTGAACATGTTTACCTGAATGATAATCTCACCTACAATTCAATAACAAAATAATACAATTGTGACTACCTGCCAGCCTCTTGTCTTTACTGTTTACAAGTTGTATAAATAAGTTATTTCCACTGAATCCCATTCTATTTTATGGCTCTGTCCTTTGACCCATTGTTACCTTTTTGTTATAAGAGGATAATCTAGCTATCCTTAGATATTGATTTAAGTTTGGAATTCACTCAAATGCCCTGTATAAGAAATATTTCGAAGTGTTTGAAATTCTGAGGATATCTTTCTGCTACTTCCACCAAACGAATCCTTCTTCGCAAACAGAGCGTTCAAGAGATCCTTACGAATGGCTCCTGTAATTAAAAATTTCTTGAATGAGCACGGAATGCCATCTCCGTTCCCAAACCCAAAAAAACTCAAAATCCAAAGGAAATACAAAGCATACTTCATACCGTTCTCATATTTTCCGTGCACATTTTTACTGGGCAATGGCGGGCAATTCAATCAAGTAGGCCTGACCTTGGGCGTTTCCTGCTGTCGTCATTGGCCGCGGTGATCACTGGAGGAGGCGCCAGGATCCACGTGCACAGGACCACACGTGCAGGTAAGTCAGTATCTCAAAGGACTCTGCGGTGGGTGGTCAGGACGAATGACTCCTCCTCAAGTAATTACTCGGTGAAAATCGGCCGAACTCGACTCCGATTTCCACCCCCTACTCAAACCCTTGGAGAAAAGCAAATACTAAACAGTGAGTCTCAGGTGATATTGTTTATTTTTTGTGACTGTGTCGTGGCACTACGCGTAGCGGGTGGACACTACAAATTATGGAAGTGACTGTGATTGTTGTGATGTTACTTTCCGTAGTTTTGGCGACCAATGCCGGGGATGTAACTGCGAGGAGCAAAAACAGAGGGAAGGGATCGATGTGGTGGTACGTCATTGTTTAAATACTGCTAATTATATACCATACTTTGTGTCAACCTGTCGGGATCTTCAAGAAAAACGTACTCTTGAACTTCCATCTTCTCTTTTTATCATCAATCTTTTTTATATCTCAAACCTTCTTGCATAAATAATCATTCTGAATATACAAGAAGAGATAGGAAATAGAATCACTCTGAATGTGAAAAAAATCGGGGATATCAGCAAATATCCATAAAATATTTTTCTCAAACACAATAATATCTGACAAGTCGTGCAAAAAAAATCTTCTCAGAAATCCTGTCTATATTTATTATATTTTTGTTCAAACTTTTATTTTCACAACATTCATTTTATTCAGCTTTCATCTGATTTGTTTCAATAACTTACTTCATCACCAAAATTCTAACAGATTTTTTTATTGAATTCAAATTTGGACTTTCTTCTTCAAAAATACTTTTTTTTACTAAAAAAGGAATATTGAAGGAACTGATTCAATTCTATAAAAAAATAGAATACTTCGACTGTAACGTCATATACTTGTTCTGTTTATATCTATCGAAATTTTCTTCAATTAGGAAAGTTGTTCATTCTGAATAAAATGTTTTCAATATCACCATTAAAAACATTGACCAACTCTATCACAGTAAGCTGCGTAAAACTAATGAGAGAAATACATCTAAAACTCATACTCATTATCTATTAAAGTGTTGATTGATATTTTTCCCGTACTTGTTTTTACTGATTGCGTTTATTTACATGAAATAATTGTCACCGAGACACTTATTCAATTTCAACATTATATATGTCTCTTTATATCTGTTAGATGATGTAGTTTTGTTTATTTGTTTTATTTATTTAGGTACTATTATAGGAACTGAAACAACTAGAAATTTTCTAATAGGTGTTGCTAACGTATTGACTATTTCCAGTTATCTGTTATATATTTGACATGTTTCATTTTTCATACTAATTAAATGTTTGTTGTGTAAGCCCTCATTTGGAATTTTATATTGACAAATGCGATAAACATTCTTCTTTTTGTGTTGTACTAGAACTGTAAGCAGATCCTTACAGTTCTAGTAGTCCTTACTCTATTAGTAAGATATAAGTATAAGTAAAAAATTGATCGATTGAAAAATTGATATCAGCGCGAACAAAGCTGGTATAGAAACTCATTTCCAAAATTATTAACGACTCTTTCTAAAATAACTCTTTTTCTATATTCTTAACTGACAAAAGTCAACTTTTATTATGATGAACAAATCGCCTCCAATAAATCGAAGTGAACAATACAGTGAATGAGATTTTACATTATTTTTGAATTATTTGGGGAGTTGAAAAACTATTCTTGAAGAAAAAATTCTGATTTTGGTAAATCTGTCTCACGAAATTTTCTATGTTTGAGAAAATTCGATGTTATTTTCAATCATTTCGTGAAATATCGAATATTTTTGTATGAAAATTTTTATATTAAATTATCAATTGATAGATACGTTTAAAATAAATGTCAAAAAACTTGAAACTTTGTTAACATAAAATGACTTGAAGTAGATTTATCAGCTTGGAATACTGACTGAAGAGTTTCATTTACAACAGATTGATTCAAAAACAAAGAAACAAAAATTTCCTCCTAAAAACCGCCTAATTGAATCATCAAGATTTATATGTTGGTTATTTCATGACGGTTTTCTTATGTTTCAAATTGTTTATAACAAAATTGTCATTGAACAGAAGAAGATTTTTATTATTTCTGGTCTCGTCCTAATTCATTCAGACTCTTTCACTACTCAGATACGTCTCACTCTTGATGATATCACTACATCAAACATAGTTCCCAGCCGTCGTCTGTCTTTATATTCAAATACGATAAACTCCAAATCTACCGAAACGAACTTTGGGATCTACCATCGAAAACGCTGCCTTATTTCTTTGAGACATAAAACAATAATCTACTACATTTTTTTCTTTCACAAGTGTACATATTCCTATCTTTTAGGGATAATTTATTAAAGGTATCCACTTGAATGTCTATACCATAAGATTTGAATCATTATCTGAATCTGAGGAGTTATCACAAAATGAATGCTATCGTGCGACAAAATGATTTCAAGCGGCCTCACAAACCGGTGCGAAACGTGAAAAAAATAATTACACGGTTGGTGTAGATAGGTACTTAGATACCTGTATAAACTATTTTTCGGGTTTGTTGTTGTGAACATATTCAAGTCTGAGACAATTTTATAATTGGTTATTATTATTACGGCAGTCATATATGTTCCGCTACACATCAAAGTCTGGTCAGATCGCTAGTTTGTAATAAAAAGCGCATATAAGACAGGATTCACCATCAACACTCTTTTGAATCAATAATTTTGAATACCACACGAGTGACGCTTGAACCAAAAAAATAAATTCTTAAATATCTAATCCTCTTTGATCCTCCCGATTCCTAGTTTCACTAAATGAAGAATTGAACTAATGAAAAATTCATTTAGTCACAATGATCTTCCAGTTCGTATTTGCATATTTTATCCTATTAACTCCATTATTTATATTGATGGACTTAAAAGTGCGTAGTATGGATAAAATGATTCCTTCAATGGTTTCAGTCATTCAAACTTCCAAGAACGAATAGTTATCAACCAATTACGTTTTGCAGGTAGTTTGAAACAAGTTGACCGTTGTGAAGTCTGAAATAAAACACCATCATGTCATACTTTTAGTCACGACGGAAATACGTTTTTCATGGAAAAATCATACTACCAAACTGTCAACATTTTTTCCATTCATTTATTTTGGTTTTTAGTAGTCTAGGCTATAAAATATTGTTAAATATCCTCATTGGAGAAAGAACTTATGAATATTCACGACATGGTAATAAGACAGTTGTTTATATGGACTCTGAAAGAAATTTTATTACTTTTCCCAATAGTTAAATGATTTTATTGTTGGTTCTGCATTCCAAATATTTCGGCTCGAAACGAGTTTTTTACTGCAAGTACAGACTCATTGTCGATATTCATTTCCAAAATATGGTGACACTATCAGCAGGTTATTTCGATGAAATTTTTAATGGCATATTACTCAACTCCAATTTGCTTTCCACTGGGAAAATATTTTTATATAGGTTAGTGTTGATCATTTTTAAATGCAAATCCATATCGATGAAGAATAAATGTATGAGACAGATTATATATTATAATGGAACAAAAAGTCTTGAAGCCTCTCAGTACTGCAATCTATACGCAGTGAACACCCATTGTCTCAAAGTATGGATCGATTCTGCATTCACATCAGCGGTTAATTCAATTAGTAGTAATAACTTTTCACACTAAACAACTGTTTGGGTCTTGGCTACTACTTGGAAAAATGTTAGTCATATATCTTGAAGGAACTTTACAGGATAAAACTTTACATTCTCAAAACAAGTGTTTGCATCACCAATTTCGGTTTTTCCTGTCCAACATCAGAATGTGTTCGGCTCTCTTAGGCGATAGACTAATCCATCTTTCAGATTGCTATTGAACTGGATCTTTGAAAGTCCAGATGTAAGTTCCAGTCATCAGAGGAAGGGGTATTTTCTTTATTCTATTGTGACCTGACACCCACATGGATGTTACTCGATTTCATTTGAGAACAGTTTGACTCTATGTAGAACTACATCTGTCCTACAAAAATACCATCAAATTATCTGAATGAAAAAAGAGCTTAGTCGTTTTCTACAATCTGTAGTATGTGAATATCATATATGATATGCTAACTCAAGCAAACTCAAAAAACACTAATCAATACAGTTTATTGTATGATTTTCACTATGGAAGGGTTTTACAAAATCCGCGACACGTGTTTCGCTAAACAATAACTTCCTCAAGCAAGCAAGTTTATGCTTGAGGAAGCTATTGTATAGCGAAACACGTGTCGCGGTTTTTGTAAAACCCTTTCATAGTGAAAATCATACAATAAACTGTATTGATTAGTTTTTTAATATAGATTTTCATCAAGTATCGGCCAGTTCTATTCAATCAATTTCAAAAAATGATTTTATAAGTCAAAAAATCACTATATTCGATTTTATATAGTCAAATCAACCTTTTGGTTGCTGATTGATTAGGAAATATAATATCTCAATACTTTTCCAGTCGTATTCTAATGAAATCCTTCACCAAAATTTATTTGGCTTACTCTCAGCAAATATTATTGGAATTTTATTCTATCACCAAACTGTTATTTCAACACCTCGACACGTGATTCGATCACCAAGTGATCATCTTCAAGAGGAATATTAATCTTCCTCTTGAATATATTTTTCGATATTTTTTTTCTTGGTATATTGAAGGAAATAAAATAATATTATAAAATTAATTCGAAACAAAAGTAGAAGTGATTTTGATTTTAGAAAGGCATTTTGAAGATTGCTATTTCTGTTTTTTGTTGGAAATATCAAGAAGTATGGAATGATTGATTGAGTTAGATTCTAGACGCTTGACGGGGATTCAGTTTATGCTATCAAAGAATCAGTAATGAGCAGTACTTTCAACATAAGAATGATATTAGTAAACTAGAGCGCCCATGTTGGAAAAACTGTATTATCAATAATGATTCAATAATATAACAATCATATCAATAATATGAGAATATTCTGGATATTCGCGAAATGAAGATCTTCGTTCTCATGTCTAGCCATCCTTTCTCAGGTATTTTTATGACTACAGCACTACAGAAAAATCCTTGAGGCGCTCTTAGTGCGGTGCCTATGCGAAAGTTGCGATACAAGTTGGATTTGAATCGCTGAAGTTTAAATTCATGTGGAAAAAGTTCTCAGGAAATTTATTCGACACACAAGCAGTTCTCCAAATGAATGAGTTCTTAAACAGTGGAGTTCGAGATGTACTGAGTTGAACCTCAAAACGACAAGCAGCCACAGTCCGTCATGTATTTCTGATATGTACCGCTTTTGTTGGAATAAAATGTGTCACTTGAACATTTGAACACTTCCCTTAAAAGTAT